TATACAAAGAACATAATATATTGTATGCCGAAGAATAATAGTATAGGTAATAGACGAGAATGGTACTTGTGCAATCGAAGGTCGTCTATTATTGCCGGATGATGTGGCTATTGGTTTTTCTCGTTTATGATATAATAATGTAAATGCAAATGTAAACGTTTGATTTTTCGAATCGAGACGTCGGTAAATAACGCGTATGTTTTTTAATTGCGTTATTTCATAGTGCTTGATAAAATATTTATACATCCACACTGGATGGACAACTCCAATGACATCAGTCTATGAGTCACAACGCAGTAGAGCGTTATATTTTTCATAAATTATACAGCTAAACAACATCAATAGAATACTAATTACCAGTTCGCTGAGACTGTAGTCTAGGATAGACGGTTTCTCGGTGGTGTAAGTCAATCATCTTGAAAATATATAACATAATTTCCCAACGTGGCAATTCGAATTTCTCTATGGAATAAGTAAAATTTGATAAAGAAAAAAAGAACCCTGTAGCTCAGGCTTTGGGTTAAATTTGATTGGGTTGAATTAGGTTAGATGCGCCGATGAATTTTTGTGTATAAAATTAATGAAGTGGTTGTTGAAGAATTGGATTAATGACCACTACATATAGTTCAAAGAAAAGGTAACTAAAGGAAATGTGATTTTGGAAATTGATTTGATATATTAGACGGTTTTAGTACTTGGTTATGGGTGTTATAATGTCCACTAACATAGGCCTAGCTAAAGCAGGCAGCTCCGAAGTTAAGTTATTTTTTTTACCGGGATTCTGTGAAAAATTAAAAGGTTTTTAGGGGTCGGAACTTCCCAAGCCGACAAACTCTGTCTACTCTGCGATGTGCTGCCATCCATCTGGAGTCTAATATATTCGTTTACGAATTGCCACAAACGGAACGAACGTACCATTTTTGGAGATTGTTTTTGGGAGATGAGAAGCCTTAAACGGTCGTAGATTAAAGTGTATTAGGGTGACCCAGTGCCCTCCAATTCGTCGACGATTACTATCACTGCGCTGATAATGTATATATGCTCATCCTTGTGAGTCACCGCCAACCGAGAGCTTATACCATATTGTTATTCCATTCACCGTACACGTTTATTTTTGCTTCTTTCAAATAATATTATTAATGTTTGAACAAATGCGGCTGTGTAAACGGAATTAGTCGAGTCGCAACGAGATTTCCGACCTTGCCAGAGGTCGTCATCTTAGGACACCGTGCGGGAACTCCCTGTGCACGCGATAGCCGGTTCATAGGCGTTTTGTAAATGACCGTTAGTCATATGAGATAGTACTGCGAATCGACACAAAACCCTATCGGTTAGGATTTTGTATTTTTTTTTTTTTTTATTCAACCGCAGCAGCGACATTGTGCAGTAGAATATGTAGATATACACTGTCAACCGTGTACTGGCAACGACAGCGCGTTATAATATAATTATATGCGTACGTACACACACATAAGACTATTATTATGGTGTGCCGTTTGAATGCGTGCATTGTGTTCTGCTAATAGCACGAGTCCGAGCTAATTAATGAGTGTATTTGGCCGTCACAAATACGACGGCGGTGACCGTCCATTGTGGTGCAGCAGAGCCGCTTGATTATCGTCAGATCGGCGTTTCCCGAACCCTCGCCTGCATCCCCTCGATCAGAACTCCTTTGGCTCAGGTGTGCGCTCAGGTAACAATGAATAAAATACATTGTTCACCAGTTCTTGCAAAACGTTATGTGATTGCTTTTCGCAATGAATACCGTTGTTCTAGTTTACCAGAGTTGGTTAGAAATAAGCCCGAATCAAAACCAAGCAGATCTTTGGTGTTCAACCGAAAATTTGGGTACGGGTTTTTAGGTATACTCAAAAAAAATTTAGGTTTTACCTAGATTTGTTAGGTACGTTTTGTCATTTTAGTTTAAAACGTAGACCGTGTTACGATTAACACGAGGTCGGCTCGATATAAGTCACATAGATAGGATGGTTTATTTGCTCTTTTTTATATTGGCGAGACACAGACAAAGAGTATAGAATCGTTCGTGAATTCATCGTGTAAGTGGAGTGTCTCCGGAATCATTGGCGGAGATCAAGGGCTTTGGATTCTAAAAACCTTATAATTAAAAACTAGTGCTGCATTTATTTTTATTTGAACAAATCTCTCACCTAAAAAGTAAATGTAGGTATTTTAAAAAGTACTAATTTTAAGTTTTAAGGATTTTAGTATCTCAAGCCCCGGTGATCTCCACCAATGTTCGGAATGGAATTGTTTTGCAAAGACAGTGCTTATCGCTGAATACTTTTAAGCAATGCTCGTAGACAACGACATGGTGAACCGTAGAATATTATGGTGAACCGTCTTTCTAAAGTATGTCCACGTCAGCTGTCGGATAACAAACTAAATTGCTGCGATGCCGAAGATCTTTGCTAAAGCGTTTGGCAAAATGTGAATTGTTTATCGACTAATGTTTGGAGTTGCTGGCTGGCAGACCAGCAGCTAGTCAAAACTCCCCTTGTTGTACTTGGCGCTGTATATTGTCCGAACCCAATCAAAAAGTGATGATTGACAGCTAGGTATTGCGGTCGCCGCTGCTGGGTGGTTTTGGGTTTTGTGACAGCCGATCTTATCTCCAAACGATCGGATTTCTCTTGGCAAACTCGCGCGTATTTCTTATAATTACTTCTTACCGGGTCGACCGTCACTCGAATTGCCCGTGGATATACATAATAGTAATTGACCTAACGAGGTCTGTAACGCACACGGCGTTCCGGTTGGCGTAATCGGCAACGATAATATTATAATAATAACGGCGTGCCTTTTTTTTTTGCAAGAGTTCGGTAAAAATGTGGTTGATTTCAATTAGTCACGTTTTAATTGAACGTTAATGGAGCCCATAACAATGTACAGAGTAGGCGGTACTCTCGTTTTCTATATACTAGACAAGCCTCGGCTCGTTTGTGTGACTTTTTTACGGCTCATTGACCCAGCTATCTCGGTCGCCGCCGACTCGCTCGTTTAATGCATTACCGTGTGACAATAATTAAAAACACGGCCGACAGATTATCAATTGTTTATTGAGAACGTTTAAACAACCCGAACCGTTGATTTTACTAATCTAAAATCGACGACTCAACGGCTGTATGTGTGTCAACGAGAACAATTATTATTCTTGTTGTGTTGTTTGCAGTGCCATCACGTGGCAGATAAGGTACGGTAGAACTTAGGCACGGTGCTCATTACTTGAGTATGACTAAGCTTGATTCGCACCGGCTGTAACAATATTTCTACACGATAATAATAACTCATCTCGTCCGTGCGCGTTACATAAATAAAAAAACCGGTGCTATCCGCGACTGTTGTATAAGAACATGATAATAATATCATTGATGTGATCGGGTGAAGTTGTTGTACATTATATTTCCACCCCGGGCCGACTCAGGACCGTGATTTATCTATCAACCTAATCAAAAGACGCGGGGATGACACCACCGTCTGAACATTTGTTTGCCTTGTGTTTCGAGCCGAAGAATAGCACTGAATAGGAACAATTATTTCCACAAAGTAATTGTGCTATTGATTTTTCATCAATATCGCCTTGTTAAAAATGTCGGTTTTTTAATAGTTTTCAGCTTTTAATGTCCACGTCAAGTCCGTTGTTACTATTGTAAAAGTTTGCAATCATTATTGTGGTCGCGATAAAGTACAACCATTTGAAAAATGGTAGTCGCTAGCTGCTCTCGAAAAAATCGTATTAGAAGTTTTAATGGCAATACATTTTATCGATTTTAATTTATTATTAGCCACAACCAACAAAGAAAATACACGCGCGTGTAAAAGTAACGATTTAGTTTGGAAACTGTTAGCAACCGTTGTTTAATATTGTTAGTTTTATGTTGGAGTATTCACGTTAGTGTCTTATTGTCGGAAAATATAACTCACATCAATTTGCTGGCTCTGTTCAGCATTCGAGCATTAAAAAAATATATGAATTCCGACCTAACCTAACCTAACAAGTTGATACACAGGTTATACGAATTTAATTAGCATTTTCATAACTAACCTATGTTATGTTAAATATTATTTACTATTGTTATATTACTGGTTACTCTTGAAGTGTATTAGTGGTTGGTAAAATTTACATTTTTGTTAACAAAATTACAATTCATAGTCTTTTAAATATCACTATTGATAATTGGTACATTTAGGAAAGTATTCAAAAAACGTTTGACACTTGGTGCACGTATCAGTGTAGGTATCAAGAATTTTTAGTATAAGATATCAAGCAGGAGGTATCATGTATCTTACACCTCTATAAAATAAAAATAGATAAAGATTCGTTAGCTACCAAACGGTTACTGGGCTCAAATCAAAAAAGCCTATACTACCCAAATCGTTGTATAATAACCGTTGGATAGTTTTGGGTGTTTTTTTTTTATACATAAGAGGTCGACTGAGCGAAATGTCTCATCATTAACAGGACTACTAATCTGGCGCAGACGGCTAGGGCACCGCAGAGGTTAGGTTGTATTAAGTGTTGAAAATGCAAGTGACCGATCGTCTCTTCGACCGATTGGTTCGCTCTGACGCTGCTGCTGCTTATGGTCAGGCAATCCAGAGCCCAGGCCGGAATGCCAGTGACCCGAAGTGCTTTGATCTCTGCGTGTGTGCTCTCGGAGTATATATAATATCCAAGTGGACGTCGACGTCGTCGTCGGCGCAGCGGCGTCCTTGTATAAGTACCTTGGGGGCAACTTGTCCACTTTGTGCGTGTGTTGCATCGAACCGGTTCCCCTCCCTTTCCCTCCGCGTCCCGTCCCTCCCGAGCCGTGTGCGGATCCGCGGTTCCTCCACCCATCGCCGTTTATCCCTTCTCCTCTCTCGTTCAGCGGCGGCGGCGGCGGCCACCCGAAACCGGTTGCGGTAGTGGCGGCGGCGGGGATCTCTGCGGCTCGCGCACAATACACAACGCTCACATAATACACTCACGCAGTCTTCGTCGTCCGTCAACCGGTCGTCGTGTGCGTTGTTGCGCTTGCCGTCGTCGATGTTTCAGTGCGTGCGTTTGTTTTTTTTTTAATTTCCGTTTTGTGTTGTGCGTTACTTACGAAATCGGCATATATATTCTACGCTTTTGAACGTCGAGTCGCCGACCGAAAGCCAAAAATCGCTGGACCGTTGGATATTTTACAGTTAACGCGTAACCGTGTGTTGATCATGATGACGCCGTCGACGCGTCCGCCGCCGACGGACGGACCGTCTTGAACGTCGGTCGCGGTCACATATGAAACCGATCACGTTCGAAAATCTCCGGCGGCTGATCGGCGGCCGCCGGAAAAACAAGGACCGCAACGATCAGTCGCCGTTCAAGCGCAGTGAATCGTTCAAGCGGATATCCATCAGGAGGAACTATCTGGAGGGTCGCGGCCAGAAGGGAGGCAGGAATCCCACCAGGAAACATTTGCCACTCCCGGAGCCGCCGGTGGCGTCCGAGGGTCGCGACCGACAGGAGCCGGACGTCCAACGGAGGAGGTCCGTTACTCCGCCACCTCCGGCGTCGCCACAGCCGCCGTCGTCCCGTCGACCTACCGCCCGAGTACCCGAAGTGTCATCTGCAATAGCGGCGCCGGTCATCGATTACGGCGAGTGGATCCGGTGCATAAGAGCCGAAGAAGACCTGAACAACCTGAAGAAGATCGTTTCGCCCCCGACGCCGCCCAACAGATACTACAGGGACAGGTACAAGGAGCTGGACGACAGCAGCCGAGCCGACTCGGCTATCAGTCTGGGCCGCATATGGATGGACGCGCCCATGTTACCGCCGGCCGCGCCCCGTAGTCTAGAGTTGCCGGCCCGGCCGGTGACGGACAACGAGCGCCGGGCCCACCATTCGCTGGAGAGTGCCCTCAAGGACAAGCGCGATGACCGGCCCGTACCCAACCGCCGGTTCCACCGGTACCCTCACGTGGACTGCAAGTCGGCGTCCCGTTCGTCGATAGCCACGTCCACGTGCTCCGGCAAGGACTCCGGGTTCAGCGTGTCCGCGCCCGGTCTTTCGGACCCGCCCCAACCGTCGCGGCAGTTGTTCCGTAAAAAAGCGTCCAAACAGCGGCCGTCCGTCTCGGCGGCGCAACAACAGTACGTCTCGCCGTCCGTCTCGTCGCAAGAGCTTTACCAGGTCGTGGTGGCCAGGGCGCCGCTACGGCACCACCAACAGCTCAAGTTGGACCCGATGATGTTCGTTGCGCCCGAAAAACGACGTGCGACCGCCGTCGTCCAACCGAAGCGGCCGGTAGTCGAGATCCGAGACTACTGCGTGCCCAAGGACGCCCGTCTGGAATTGCAGGATGACGAGGATCAGCGACAAGAGCTGGAGGAAAGACTGTACGAGTCGATATCCAAGGGTCGTTGCCGGTGGCAGGACACCACGGACGACGCGGACACCGAAGACGATCGGACGGTCATCCCTAGAGTCGTTATATTCGCCGGTGCCGCATCTAATTCCAACGCGGCTGTCGCAAGAAACCGCGTCAAGAGGAAAAAGTCAGCACGACGCAACATCAAATATGTGGTGAAACCTGTCCGGAGGGCGCCGTCGACTGCGTCCCGGAAACCCAGCGTGGCCGCCAAAACCAAATCCGCCTGGATATCAAGTACGTCCCATCGCGCTCCACATTATCCTCGTGCTACCTTTCCACAGTTAATAATAACTCGAGATTTTGTTGATATTAAAAATCCCAAAAAAACTCATATTATTAGATTTAGTTTTTTTTTGTAAACTATGAACCTTTAAAAACTGTCTGTCGACTGTAGTAGTTGTTGGCAAATGGAACAAACGTAAATCAAATTTGTACATTTTTTTTGCAAACAAAACTTGCTCATTAGTCCAATTTGTTAAATGGTATAGCTATTGAGAAGGATGGTCAAAAAGTAGCGAATTAATGAATAATTATTCTATTCCATTCTATCCAAAGAACTAATAAATTTTTCCACTGAAGTGTAAGATTATAATGACATCAAAATGTATCCAAAAGCAAACTGTATTTCAAACAATATATACTGCTTAAATGCTGTAATCTCAAAAAATAATTATTTCTTGATTTTTTTTTTTACATTGATAATATGATTACAACTTAAATGAAATTAAAACAACAAAAATGACGGGCTCTACACGTTGGATAGGCCTTTTATTTAATTTAATTTTTAAATCATCTCTATTGTTTTATTCTAAACATTAAAATATTTTCTGTTCTCGATACAGCAAATACATAAAACTACGTCACTTCATTCGTTTGCAATTACCCCCCACTTAACTCCATAAGCACTATAATTATACATTTTTCCAGTCGGCTCTTTTGTCCGGTCTCTCGTTCTCGTCTTAACGTTTTTAATTGTCTTTTGACAAGTTTTCTCTCTCGGTCGTGATCGCAGCTCAACAGTCTTCTCCGCACAGTACATATAATATTATACTGTTTGACTACAAAACAAAAAAACGGTGTTTACTACGTTACGTTATTCTTAATCATCACTGACGTGTTTATTTACACGAACAACGCAATAGTGTTTGGTTTTTTTAAAACAATTTTTTGAGGTTTTCGGATACCGGCTGTTTTTTGGTAAAGCGATTTTGTACACTGACTGTTATGGCAAAGCGATTTCGTTTCGGTACAAAACCGACAACGGTTGGGGAAAAGGGTCGTTTTAAGGTCACAAAAATAATGTACCAGTTGACCAGTTGTTGTTATTATGTTACTACGATATGTCTGATTGTACATATTATGTTTGTATGCTAATACTACAAATAGTAGTCATTCCACCGGGGAAACTTGTAGTATTTTTTTGTTTTTAATATAAATATACATATTATGACTAATGTACATTTGTCGGTGTGTGTGTGTGTGTGTGTTTGCGCGTCAGAACGGGCTGTAGGACTTGAATACAAAACGGACGATAATGAATTTTTGATTAAAAGTCCATAAAAACAGAGCGAAACGCGAATAACTGGTTGCTCGAATTTTTGTAATTATAGTTTTCATATATATATAGACAGATTTGCCGGTTGTCATACCGACGGTAATTACAGTTTGTTGGGCGCATAAAGAATGTGTGTATGTAATTCATTGATCGATTTAATACCACTTTTTTCTTTCTTTCAATAACGTCGTTGTTTTTTTTTTTTGTGATAATATGTGAAGTCGCATCAGACCACACATCTGACGGACGGGTATATTATTATATTTACAACACTCTGTTTGAAATATTGTTTTACGGATCTCTTTGTCGGTTTGAATTTGTGTATTAACCCTTAAAGGGTCGAATACAAACCGTGTCATTCTGTACATAAATCTCAAGACTCCCATCTGCGGTTATGCATAGTTTATACACAGAAATTATGTAAATCAATATAGTAAAAAAAAAAAAACCCCCCATTGTCGCGTCTGGGAACCTTGAAAACGTTAGCAATCATCGATTTCCAACTGGATCAAATATCAACAGACATAACTCACCCTCTCTCTCTCTCCGCCGGTAACCCCGACGGCTTTTTATATTATTATTGTTTATTGTAGGGTTGGCCGCCGGTGAAGTGGAAATAAGGAGCATTTTTGTTCTTGTGACGAAAAAACAAAAACCGAGAGTATAATATAGATATTTTTTTTTTTTTGACGACCTTTTCCCCATCGTCGTCGTTCTCCGTCATTGATTTCTGTGTACCCGCGGGACCCTGTATAGCTTCCCTGTTAGCATTACCTCCCGAGCAAGTATGTGACGGAGCCAAGAAACAACAGAGGCTCCCACGGGGGGGGGGGATGTGTGATGACGCCGATCATGGTCGGTAGACTGTAACCGCGGAGGTATACTTACAATAATATGTTATTAACTCTTTTTCGTGTCCGTCCTCGGTACTGGTTTAGTCTGTACCGGCAGACCGTTGCCCTCTAAATTATGGGTTTCGACCACGGCGATAATGATGATAACATTTGTCGATCGGATCGATAGTGTATTATACAGCCTATACTTACTATGTATACGTTTTTTTTTTTATCATAACTTCTTTAACGCTACTCGTGTTTTGCTTGGAATAATTATTCAATTTACGAAGCGTTTTTTTTTTTTTTTTCGGAGGTCACAGTTTGAGTAGTCGTATATAAAAACATATTCGACCATTTGCAACGGTATAACAAGTTTGGTATTTGCTACAATCTGAGTACAGTATATAAAAAAAAACGTTTTGCTTACTTTGCGCACAGTAGAGTTGCGCAGAGGTTTAATTCTATTCGGCGAATTGTAAAAATATTGACGGCATCACGCAGACAATTTTTTTAAATTTATAAGAAATACCTTTAAAAAAAATTAAATTTCGGTATAAATGTGATTAATGAACATGAAATTACTTGAAAACATATTTATTTAGAAAATCGAACGTAGTATTATTTTTATTTCTGGCCAAATGTAAATAGATTCTTTTATTTTCCTTGATGTAATTGAGTTTGCATTCATAATTAAATGTTTATTTATAAACAACGAATAATTTATTCGTTGTTTATTTTCAAACAATATATATTCAGAATAAATTTATTTTGACGTTAATGATCAAACGTTTTCTATTTATTGTTATTTTTTAAAACAATCATTTTTTCATTACAATCATAGATTATGACGAGGAATAACAAATTACTATCAACTATAAAACTAGTTGTTCATTAATTCTTATCAAATTACTTATATTAAATAACCTATTAAATTTGAATATGTATAGATTAATATTTATCTTGACCAACTCTGCTGATATTATATTAATGTAATACCAAAAAATGTACAATGAGCTTGTGATAAATAAAATGGAGACTTTTAAGGCATTTTGGATTAGTTATGTGGCCGGATGAGTTGGAAAAGGGCAACCAACAGACGTGTTGTTACACCCCTTAGCTTCCTCACAATTGTATAGTATTATGGGTCTGAAATACATTGAGAAAAGTTTGCAAAAAAATCCAATCCGAAAAATATCTAACGTTTATTGTGAACTAATTTGTTCCCAAATTATATACCCGAGTTTTCGCCAACTCTGTTCTTGAGAGAAATTTGTATTTCCGCCTTTACGTTCCAATAACGACGTGTCCTCGTGCCGGTCGTCCTAATGCGTTAACAATTATTATTATTTTACTAGAAATATTTTAGCAACTATAATAATAACTTATACACTGTCATCTAATGGTTTTTGTGTTTTGTTTGTTTCAGGTAAGTCACGGCAACGGACCATACTCTATTAGACCCTCTTCGCCATTACGGAGTTTATAATATTGCCTATGCACAACAATAGTGAGCACTCAAAAAACATACATTTTTACTATTCAACAAATAGTTTTGAACGTTTGATTCTGACTAAAAATTTATGTTTTTCGAGTTGTGTCACATTTTTGTGCATATACGATACGTGTTGAACGATTAAACAAAATATATAGACTAAGACAGCAGGACTCACGGTGAGTCTGTTGACGCCATCGCTTATTTTAGAACTAATATGTGTAATTGTATAATAATAATATTATTTCAATAATAACAATAATAATGGCAAATGTCAGTACAAGATTTGTTTTTGTTTTGTAGTGTACATATTTATATAAATATATATTGAAAACAAAATAAAAAATACATTTTCTTTAGTCACTTTGTACATAAATCACGGCAAAAAATAAGTAACGTTTTTTTATAGCTCTGTCGTATGTGAAGCAATCATATTTATTCGTATATACTTACCGGTAGAGTTGGACACGGCACTTACGAAAATTGGGTATTAAATTACATTACCTATTTTTTAATAACATAATTTTGCATCGTTTAAATTCAAATTATAATCGATAACTGTTATAAAATCGCTTGATTGGTATTTTTGCCAATGTTTATTACTAATTATAATGCATTAACTATTATTATTTATTACCTAAAGAGTGCATCCACACTGTAATACCCGAAGCAATTTTAATTTGACGTGTGACCAATTATATGACATAATAATTTATAATCGCCAACAGAACAGCAGTTAAACGTTTAATGGAATTTGTCGGGTCGGATGGACGTTGTTGCTCAAGAACTTCAACCAGAGTTGGCAATAACGCTTTTTTTTTTAAACCCATCCAGCTAATTTTTTTGGGTACATACCAAACATTTGCCGGGTTTGGGTCAGCGATTAATCTACTAAGTTCTAATGAACCTTTAAATTTGTAAATGTAACCCTTTTGGCAATGAACCAATCAGTCATTGGACCAAAACTGGCGACGTTACATAATGGAAATTACCTTAGTCGTCGTTGTTGCTGTTGTTTACTGCTGTTGACTTAGTTGACGATTGCTACCCAGTGCGACTCGTGTAATGGATATTTAGTGTTCTATGGTCGATTTAACATGTTATTATAAATAATACGAGAGACACTGGAGACGACGACCAACATAATATAGTTGCTGCAAGTCGGAAACGAAACGCGAACAATACAAGTGCAATTATTCATCCAACATTTGGAGACCAGGCGAAAACTAAATAGGACAATATACCCAAGAGTAAACCGAGAAAGACTTGCTAAGCCCGACTTAATTTGAATCGCATGGTCGTTTATTAACGCCAAAATATCATGCGCAACAAAATATGTCGATCTATTGCC